GTTGCAAGGTCTGCATTAATATCAACACTCCAATGACCTCTCACACCCTACGGCACAGTGAGAACTCAATTTTACATCAATAAACCCGAGCACCAAACTGTTAGAAACTCAAAAGACACCAGGTATTACAACTTCCATAAATTACAGCTGAGCTCAAATGGCCCGTACAAGCAATTGTACAGTGATAAAGCCTAAGTGGATGATATTTAAACAGATATTTGATTTATTGCAGAATTTTACATCATGCTAGAATTCAAATGACAATTTACAAGTCTGGAGGAGAGAAATCCCTGTCCCATGCAAAGTGCTGTTTGCAGAGCTCTGCCAGAACAGCTCAATATTGGGTCTTTAAGGAAGGAATCCTTCCCTCTCGTACTCTCAGGACACAGCCTTGGAAGCCAATCTATAAAACCTGACATTTAAAAGGAGAATGAATAAGCTGCTGCTTCATCCCCAGGCAGGAAATAACATCCTCGGTCTTCTGTGAGTGAAGTCTCACGAAACTCATTTTTGTGGTTTCTGTCACCAAAAAAAGCTCTGATGGCAAGTTTGAGGGTCTGTCTTACAAGCTCTTTAGAGATGCACAAACTGTGAAGTGCAGAACAGACAACAGTGGCTGTCCACAATTCTACTGCAGTGTGCCAGGGGAGGCTCAGGTTGGACATCAGGAGGAATTTATTCCTGGAAAGGGTGGTCAGGCCTTGGCAGGGGCTGCCCAGGGAGGTGGTGGAGTCCCCATCCCTGGAGGTGTCCAAGGAATGACTGGAAGTGGCACTCAGTGCTCTGGGCTGGGTGACAAGGCAGGGATCGGGCACAGGGGGGACTCCATGGGCTGGGAGGGCTTTTCCAACCTTAACAATTGCGTGATTTTATGGAAATAAGAGCTGAATTTGCAGAGGAGGAATCATGGGATGCACATTGTTGAAACAAACTTCAATGCCCGAACAGGTCACAAATGAGACCAGGCAACCCTCCTGTTCCCCAGCAATGAGTAACTACAGATAATTCTCTGTGGACTAAAAAAAAATCCATCAAGGAAAAGCTTTATCAAAGACAAAACATGGCAGGCCTCCAGCAGGATCCAGGAAAACCTCTCAGCCAATAGCTGGAGCAGCAGTAATTGTTCTAAATCTATCAATAAAGCTGAGCTGCTCCTTCATTGACTGCAAACACCAATTTCTTTCATGGAGGATTATAAGTTGATGCTCATGGTCTCTCTAACACCATTAGGGTGATAAACAGTTGAAACTACATCAGGATCTGACACGTAGATCAATTCTGGGTCCATAAAGAATCTACACAAGAGGTTCCTGGACAGGGATTTACTGCCCCCAGTTTTTATTCTCTCCCGCTGCTAAAATTACTTCTGTCAAGTACTTACAAGAGTACAGGGGGAAGAAAAAAGCAAAAATAATTAATTTTTCATGTGCTGCTGGAACAGCCTTTGGAAATTTCGGGAGTTTCTGAGGCAAATATGTTGCTGCATTGCAAATGATGCTGAACAGCAGGTGGGATTCAGCTAAATACTGATCCAGCCTCACGAGCCACTCACCAGCCAGAGACAGCAATTTAAGCACCAAACTAAGCTGTCAGGATTTTCTCCAAGGGCAGTCACAGGCTTCACGTTACCAGTGCCAAATTATATTAGACATTTAATTTTAGACCTCAGGTACTTAAATGTAAAACCTTACCACAGTAATAGTCATAAAGCAGTGGGGCATTCCATTTCAGAGAATGGATTTTTCTATTTTTCCCCTTTAATTTAACCAGCACCTCCTGTTTTGTGGCTCTGCCCACTACAAAGTAATTTATCTAATTAGGAGATGTTCACAGCTGCTTGAAAGACAGAAGCCCCAGGAAACCAAAGGTCTGGTTTGGAAGACTTTGAAAAGTTCTCCGGAGCCACACAAAGTATTAATTTAATGTGAAAAAAAGGTGCAGAGAAAAATTGAATTCCAATATGTTATTTTGTCTACAATAAAACCATGTGACAATAAGCAGGATATCCTCCAGTACATTGGCATTTGAATTCCAAAAGATGCTTAGCTTCTCACTGTACCTGCTGCTTTCACAGTATTAGCTTTTTATGACTAAAATTCAAAAATCTTTTAATGGAGAAAAAAACCCCTGAAATTAAAAAGGGTTTTTCATGCGTCAACTTGCCAACATAAAGGACATTTCTGAGCTTATCCAAAGATGATACACTGAGAGCAATCAATTATTCTTGAGGTTCTGCAGCAGCTTTATCATAATACTTCTGATTCTGCTGACCCTTAGTTGCCTAAAACTCATTGTTAGTCCAACTTTCCCTCTTATTTATAGAGCAATATTTTTAAAATTTTTTTCTTTTTTTTTTTTGTTAATATTGGAACATCTGCAAGAAATTATTCCAGCCAGGTTATCCACAAGTACCCTCCAGTCACCTGCAATTTTAAAATAAATATTTCCTAGGTAATTCTAGCTGTTGTCTCTCCTGAGCCAACTTGAGTGTCAAGTCAGAAGAAGGCACTGCAAATCCGTAGGAGCGCAGAGCTGGGGAGGAGAAAAGGTTCCCTTTACCAGGGACTGGGAACCAGCTCCAACTCAGCAGCAGGAGCAAAAGACAAGTCCAGCAAACACAGCATTACCAAAAGAAGGGGCTGGGAAAAGGCAGGAATTTAGGTACTATTTCTACTTTCTGACATTCTGTTTCCACGCTGCTTGTGGGAATTCAGTGAATTCTGCATTTTGAAGGCTTTTCTCTGCTGCAGCCTCGGCTGCTCCCTCTGGCACGGGGACAGCACTGCTCCCCTGCCTGCACAGCACTGCTCACTGCACAGGGGCCTCTGCCTGCTCTCCTGCCAGAGCCAGCACCCAACACCGCCCAGCCTGCCTTTGAGAACCTACAGGAGAAAAGAAGGGTGCAAAAAAAAAAAAATAGGCGCAAACTTTGGCCTAACCTTTCAGAAGGGAGGTAGAATTGGGCTGGATTAAAACGACAAAGCAGCTCAGGAAAGAAAATATAAAGTCTTAACTGGGAAAGCAGTTCAGCACCCAAGCAGGGTAGCGCTGCCTGCCCTGCTCCAGAGGAGCAGGAGAGCTGGGTGGACACATTTAATTGATTTTACAGCATCTCTGCCTTTCAGTGAGGCTCCAATCAAGCCTGCTTGCTTTAGAAAATTCTTAGCCAAAATCTGGACTATTTTAATGCAGGTGTCACTCTCCTGAAGGTGCTGCCCACATGTTTACAGCTCCAGAAATGCACGTGCTTCAGTAACTAGGACTTGGATAGCTAATGCCACTCAGAAACAAGGTAATGGTGACTTTAACCTCTCTGTTCTCATAAGGTGGCACTGAAAAGCTGTTCAGAGCTGCTTAAAAACCCAGAGACACAATCAGGGGTATACCCAGATTCAAACCTTACAAGGACACACATTACACACTGGCACAGGGTGCCCAGAGAAGCTGTGGCTGCCCCATCCCTGGAAGTGTCTGAGGCCAGACTGGATAAGGCCTTGAGCACCCTGGGACAGTGGGAGATGTCCCTGCCCATGGCAGTGGGGTTGGGACTAGATGGTCCTGAAGGTCCATTCCAACCCCCTAATATTCTATGATTCTAGAATATGTATGTATGGGACATCTGCAATAGTTCTCATATCCCCCTAACTCTCCTCATTTTAGAGACAGCCATCAGAACCAGCTTTCCTTCCCTTCCTCCTGTCTAATTCACATTTCTCCCTGCTATCCATATTCTCACCTTCTTCTCAGGTTTTTTTTCCACACACTCTTCTTCTTTTCCCCATTTCCTGAACTTTCCAAGGTTTCCTGACGTGCCCTTTAAACCCCACACTCCCAGACACGTGTGCCCTGCTGGTATGAACCATCTCTGCTGCACACCTGAGCCCCAGCCCACCCATCTGGCTGCTCCAAGGATGCTCTGATTTGCATCAGGTCACCCACAGGTGACCAGCATTACAGCCCTGCCCTTCCTAGACACTCCTTCCAGGCCAGAGACACCAAATATCACATCTACCCTTCAAAAAACAAACACCCCTGTCTCACTGCTGCAGTGTAGTAATTCCAAAGCTCCATCTGGAATAGTGTTTGCTCCTTTTAATACTTTCAAATGCTCCACTGAGGAAACACTACAGCTACGCCAGAAGAATGGAAGGATTAGAGTGAGAGCACAGCAGAGAAAGGACACATGGATGAAAATATCTGGAGGATCATTTACTGCTAATACCTACTTAATACTAACACCTACTGCTAATGCCCACCACAGGGTAAGGAAATCAGAATATCAAGCCAACAACATACAATATGTGGCTGCCCCATCCCTGGAAGTGCCCAAGGCCAGGTTGGATGGGGCTGGGAACAACCTGGGCTAGTGGAAGGTGTCCCTGCCCATGGCACGGGGTGGAATGAGATGATCTTCAAGTTCCCTTCCCACCCAAACCCTTCTAATGATTCTTTTTTCAACAGGAAGAGCTAACGTAATTATAATAATGCTTAATTTTAATTTCAGGTGCATTATCACAGAATCCCAGAATGGTTTGGGTGGGAAGGGACCTTAAAGATCATCCAGTCCCACCCCCTGCCATGGGCAGGGACACCTTCCACTAGCCCAGGGTGCTCCAAGCCCTGTCCAACCTGGCCTTGGACACTTCCAGGGATCCAGGGGCAGCCACAGCTTCTCTGGGCAACCTGTGCCAGGGCCTCCCCACCCTCACAGGAAAGAATTTCTTCCCCATATCCCAACTAACCCCGCTCTCCGTCTGTTTAAAGCCTTTCCCCCTTGTCCTGTCAGTCCCTGGCCTTGAAAAAAAAAGCACTGCATCGATCCATTGTCTTTTATCTCCTTTCTCTTTCCCCCTCACATGCTCCAAGTCTGACCCCCAGCAGCGCAGTGGCACCAACACCGGGCTGCGTCAGTGCATTCTTTCCTTTTGAAAAAAAAGCAAAGCACCAAACTCCCCCTTCACCCCAAAGCACGTATTCCCCCCCAGCTCCAGGTTTCTTACCACTGCTAATGCCAGAGTTTGCAATGACTGTTGCCTCGCTCCACTGATCTGCACTGGAGACCGAGTAGGAGCGCTGGTGCAACCCGTCCGGGCGGCTGTTGAAGGACACCAGACTGATCCCACTGGCCATCTGAGACACAGATGTGCTAGTAGTCACGTTCCCTAGGCACAAATGGAAAACAAATCGTGTCAATAGAGAACACAGCACGGATTTGCACGAGGATGGACTGGTGTATCTTAACAGAGCACACGCAGAGGTTACGCCACAAAACCCTCCCTGAAGGCCTCGGCACAACGGCCCTGCCAGCAGGGCTTTGGGCCACCACCCACTTCAGCAACCTAGCTCAGAACCTCTGACAAAAGAGCCTGAATTTTCACCATTTCAGCTTGTTCTGTCCATTGAAAACACGATCTTTCACCACCCTGCCACCAGTCACTTTCTGTAGAGGTTCTCTGCTTGTTACGAAAGAAACTGTGCACAAAAAATGAATTTATTCCTAAAACCACTCTTCATACAAGCAACTGAGATGGGACAACCAAGCCAACTCAGAGAGTTTAAAAGAATCTACCTCTAAATAATATCTCACACAGTCTTTCCCCAAAGTGAAACCAAGGGGAGAAAATGACTCCTAGAATTGTGAGACCAAGCAAAAACTTATTTGGGCTTTTAATCTTAAACCAGTACCAGGACAAAAACACACACTGGACTGACTGCAGGTGTCATTCCTGTGTCCTGCCCCACAGAACACACCCATCACAACTCCACCTGAAGGCCTGTGACACAAAAGGGGAGACACAAAGAACAGCCTCTACCCAATAAACACTGGAAATAATTCTGTGTTTTCCCCATCACTGAGGAAGAGGACCTTAAAATGCTGGGAGGTGTGTGTGAGGGGGAGCGACAGGGACAGGTTTCTGACCACAAAACGGGAGAAGAGTGACTAAATTTTAGAGCAGAAACAATTAAAACCTTTCCAGAAACTCAGGTTCCTGACGGTCTTGCTCACAACCTGCTATGGGCCAAAGTCTGCTCTCCACAGTTTTGGCTTCTGAGCACATTTTACTCCATTCCCAGCACAGGTCTTGCATATTACAGGGCTACAAAGAATTCACAGTGCTAGTTTCCTTCCTCATGGCAGGCTCTCAAAAGGTGCCCCACAGGTCTTCTGTGGATTGAGAAATACTCTTAAAAAACACATGTAGAGGGAAAGGAACAGACACAATTTTATAACATACCCTCACACTTTGCATTTCCATTGCACCTTCTACTGATGAGTTCAGAAAAATTAATGAATTAATTTTCAATGCTCCTGTGAGGTTGTTAATTATCTGCTATCATTTCCCCCATTTTTCAGAGGTTAAATGACCCAGGGCCACAAAGGAAGATTGTGGCAGACTTGAAAATAAAACCCAGATCTCCTGACTCCCAGTTCTATCATTATGTCTTTTCCCAGAGCAGCCTTTGGGAAGACAGCAGAGCTTAGTGAACTACTTTGTGTTTATTAGAGTTGGCATAATTGTCCCTTTCTCTCCTCCCCTTTCCCAAGACTAAATCTCATCCTTAGTCCTTAACACAGATCCATCACGGTATCTGAATCTTCAGTGTACTTACTCAGCTTCGACAACTTCTGTGTGGCATCTCTGATATGAAATACAGACAGAAAAACCAATTTGTTTAACTATGCAAAGTCTGAAGTGGATTTTGGAACCATGCTGGGACCTCCCAAGGCATGAGAGTCCAGAGCAGAGGATCGAATTGTATCTCAGCACCTTAAAATCACAATAGAAAATGGAAACAGGAGCCGACAGTACATATATTTTGAGGTCTCCTAAAAGAAATATCTCCTTCCAAAACCTCCATGATGCTGCTGATGCTCACTTTGAAATGCCCTTTTCCTCTGTTTTTTAAAATCCAGAAAAATTATAAACATTATTAAATTATTTTGATGATCCACCAAATGAAAGGGAGTGGCTGATGGGAATGACAGAGCTTGAGACCAAATGCACTCTAGAAACTCGAGATTTAGGCCAACACAGACACAACATAAGCAGTGATATTTCTACACTGACATCTTTCACCCAGTCCACAAGCTTTGGAACACGAGCCTCCACTTTCTAACCATGATGCAAAAGCAAAACCTTAAAATGAGAATATCTTGACTTCTACACCACCACGTCAGCACCAAAAGCTTTACTTTCACCTCAATCCCATCTGATGAAACTCCAACCTCACCTTATGATATGAACCTGTTGAGAAGTGACTTACTCTGCAAAACAAAGAAGGTTTTTCCTTTCAGTTAACCTTTCTGAAGGGTGAGGGCTGCAAGCACAAAACAGGTGCCAAGTGCCATCACGTAACACTTTACTGAGCAGAGATGCCACTAACTCGGATCTGTCCTTCCTACTGCCATAGTCTGGTAGCCCTGCAACCCTTCCAATAACATTTATTCAGGATTAATTTCCACTTTGTCCAGGTGCTGGGGGGGTGGGGTGTATATTTTCATGATATATCAGATCCTCAAGCCAGAATCTATGGGTAGATATCAGAAGGGCCAGATAACAGAAAACAGTGTGTCCTTTCCTCTCCCTCTCCTCAACGTGTTCAGCTCTAGCCCAAACTCAGTATTTACAACCTTATTTAAACGTCATTATTTCCCTATCCATTGCTAATTTTTCCACCAAGTGCAGCACGCCCAGGACATGTATCCCACTCCCCCACCAGGCACCAGCACTGTACCCCAGAGCAAGGAGCACTGAAAGGTAGCCCCTGCTCCTGCACACTGTGCATTCCACACACAGCTCCTACAGCACAGTCCCACAGCTCTTCCCACCTACAACAGGCAAACCCCAACCCAGACCTGGCAAATGCCCTTTCATTTTCCTCACAGATAAAGCCTCACCAGCAGAGTTGTTCAAAAGAGGAGGCCAGCAGCACCCAGTGAAAATTCTGAGGGTGTCCCTGCCCAGGGACTAGAGGAGATTTAAAGGTCCCTCCAACCCAAACCACTCTGGGATTCGATGATTCTGTGAAAAGGGAAGCCTGTATATTGGGTTAGGCACATGAAGCCTTTACATTGAGCTCCTGCAAGATGCATCCTGCATCTCTTGCCCCCCATCTGTACATCTGTACACACATAAGCACACCTCTCTCTCTCACAGACAGACGGACACCCATCTTCACATTAACCCCAAACTCCTGGACAGTTACCTGGCCCATTCTGGAGCTGTGAAAGAGTTGTCTCTTCAGATACATCCTAAATGCATCAGCTGGTTGCTTAAGTTGATTAGCAGGGGGCAGTTAAATTACTATGCTAATCCATGTATTCTCAGCACTGTTTCCTTGATATGGATATGTGTATATGCTTACTGGGAAGCCTTGATTAGTTCAAGCTTCAATGTGTCAAAGGCTCCAGATTCTTTCCAAAGAATAATTTTAGCTGTACTCACATCCCTAAAGTGTGTGAGCTGATTTGAAAAGGTACTTACCTCTACCATATGCTATTTTTCTTTAAACAATTTGCATTTCAAAGGGAATATGGCATTTATATTTGAATGAATATCAGTATGTTGCCAGAACTTGTCTCAAATGAGCAAAAAAAAAAGATGCTGGTCTCCTATTGAACAAAAATGTTTTCATCTACCAAAGGAGCATCAAAGGAAGAATTCCTCTTTCTAGCTCTAGACAGCTTTATTAAAACTATCTTTTCTGATGTTATAAAACACCCCGTTACGATCGCGCTTACAAAACGTTCAGACAATTAAGTTCCACAAAACCCTTCCAAATTAAGATTTGAGGTAATTTCCAGGTTTGGCCAATGCTCAGCAGAAGTGCCTCTAAGAAGAGTGAGCGTGCTCACACAAAATCCAATTTATATCCCCATTTATTCAGCATAAATCACTGCAAAGAGCAAGTGAAGGCGAGACTGGGCATGAGAGGAATTAAGCCATGTACGTAGGTAATGAGAGGCTGAGAGAAACACACACCCTGGGGGCAGAACGTGTCTCCATTTCCCAAAAAGAAGGGAGCCACTTCAGATCTTCCTACTCAGTTGTTGCGGATTTGCAAAACAACAAACCATAAATGCAAGGTCAGGTTACAGTCCTTAGAAATGCTATGAAAATAACAAAGATTTATACAAACACAGAGTACAAGATGTTAAGGGTGGATCTGGTCAGTAAAAGACAAAAGATAAAGGCTCTATTACAAAAATTAATTAAATTAATAAAACAAGCAGTTGAGGTTGATATAAATGTTCTCTTACATAAACGCTGTAACTTGTCCCACAAACCAGAAACCACTCAGAGTTTTTGTCACGCTGCTCCTGCAATGGAGCAGTTCTGTGGGCAGCATGGCAGCAATCCCTCTTTTGCTGTTTTTTAACTCAGTAGTACAGTGAATCACCGCTGGGCAGCACAGGTTACCTCAACAGACACATCACTTCAAGCCTTCACCAACTCCAGCAGCCAGAAATCACAGCTGCACAGCCAACACAGCTCTCACTGCACCCAGAAGTGAGAGACAAGTGACTTCGACACACAAGTGATCTTCATTTCCCACTGCAGACACAGCTGTGATTCCTCCCAAACAAATCAGCTACAAGAACTTACTTTCCTGAGTGCAACTAATATACTCTTGGATTTATGAGACCAGCAGACACTGCAAGAGTCATGAAGCAGAACTGCATTTTTCCATGAAGCAGCGGCGTGCGAGACCCGCAGAGAGGCTGCACAGAAAGACTGAATCAGACAAACTGCAGCCCACTGCTATGCTTTCTCCATGGTCATGTTATATTTGTGCCAAGCTCTTCATGTTCACAACGAGTTTCTCTCCGGAAAAAAAAAAAAGGAAAAAAAAAGGGAAATAAACCTCTTAAGGCCAGAGGGCTGCGCTCACCAGCTGTTAGAACTAATGAAAAATACATTAGAGTTGTGGGTCAGGAAATCCTGACTCTTGATATCAGAGGGTTAATTGTTTCAAATCATGTTGGGTCAATCCGTGTTGCAGGAATTCTGCCTATTCTTGAAATGCCCTCTAATTCAGCAAAAGGCACTGTCAAGTAGGTTACATGGGCTGTTGGATGCCCATTCCCAACCCACACCCAGCACTGCTCCCTCAAGCCTTTTCAGGCATTAGGGTGTAAAGAGAAAGGGAGAGGCCCCCT